TTCCCAATTTTGAACCAATCAGTTGTTCCATATCCAGTTCCAAATGTTGCTTCCTGTCTCACGTATAGGTTTCTCAGGAGATAGATAGGGTGGTCAGGCACTCCCATTTCTTTAAGAACTTGCCATAGTTTGCTGTGGTCCACACAGTCAAAGGCTTTTGCATAGTCAATGAAGCAGAAGTAGATATTTTCCTGGAACTCTCTGGCTTTCTCTATAATCCAGCGCATATTAGCAATTTGGTCTCGAGTTCCTCTGCCCCTTCGAGATCCAGGTTGTACTTCTGGGAGTTCTCAGTCCACATACTGCTGAAGCCTACCTTGGAGGATTTTGAGCATAACCTTGCTTGTATGTGACATGAGTACAATGGTAAGGTAGTTGAAGCATTCTTTGGCACTGCCCTTCGTTGGGATTGGGATGTAGACTGATCTTTTCCAATCCTCTGGCCACTGTTAAGCTTTCCAAACTTGCTGGCATATTGAATGTAGCACCATAACAGCGAGTGCCATCACCCCCACTAGCCTTGTTGTTAGCAATGCCTTCTAAGGCCCACTTGATTTCACTCTCCAGGATGTCTGGCTCAGTGTCAGCAACCACATTATCTGGGTTTTCTGGGATATCCAAATCTTTCTGGTATAATTTCTCTATGTATTCTTGCCACCTCTTCTTGATGTCTTCTGTTTCTGTTAAGTCCCTCCCATTTTTGTCCTTTATCATGTCCATCTTTGCACAAAATATTCCTTTAATATCTCCAATTTTCCTAAACAGATCTCTGGTTTTTCCTTTTCTATTATTTTCCTCTATTTCTTTGCATTGTTCATTTAAGCAAAGCAAAGCGTGCTGCTTATATACTGCTCCATAGTGCTTCAAGCACTCTCTGGGCGGTTTACAAGTTAATTATGCAGGCTACACATTGCCCCCCCCCCACGAGCTGGGTACTCTGTTTACAACCTCGGAAGGACAGAAGGCTGAGTCAACCTTGAGCCGCTACCTGGGATTGAACCCCAGGTCGTGAGCACAGTTTTGGTTGCAGTACAGCGGTTTAACCACTGCACCACAAAGCTCTCTTGTCTCTCTTTGCTATTTTTTTGGACATCTGCATTGAAAGTTATTTTTTAAAAGTTTCCCTATCTCCCTTGCATTTTGTTTCCCTTCTCTTCTCTGCTATTTCTAAGGCCTCGTTGGACAGCCACTTTGCTTTCTTGCATTTCCTTTTCTTTGGGATGGTTTTCGTTGCTGCCTCCTGGACAATGTTACGAGCCTCTATCCAAAGTTCTTCAGGCACTCTGTCCACCAATTCTAGTTCCTTAAATCTGTTCTTCACTTCCACTGTGTATTCATAAGGGATTTGGTTTAGATTATACCTGACTAGCCCACTGGTTTTTCCTACTCTCTTCAGTTTAAGCTTGAATGTTGCTATGAGAAGCTGATGATCAGAGCCACAATCAGCTCCAGGTCTTGTTTTTGCTGACTGTATAGAGCTTCTCCATCTTTGGCTGCAGAGTATATAACAAATCAGATTTCGTTATTGCCCATCTGGTGATTTCCATGTATAGAGTCGCCTCTTGTCTTGTTGGAAAAGAGTGTTTGTGATGACGAGCTTGTTCTCTTGACAAAACACTATTAGCCTTTGCCCTGCTTCGTTTTGAACTCCAAGGTGAAACTTATCTGTTGTTCCTTTTATCTGTTGACTCCCTACTTTAGCATTCCATTCCCCTATAATGAGAAGATAATTTTTTTTGGTGTCACATCTAGAAGGTGTTGTAAGTCTTCATAGAATTGGTCAATTTCAGCCTCTTCAGCATTGGTGGTTGGTGCATAAACTTGGATGACTGTGATGTTGAAAGGTCTGCCTTTTATTCGTATTGAAATCATTCTATCATTTTTGTGATTATATCCCAGTACAGCTTTTTCCAGCCCCTTCGCCATGACAAGGCAGCAATCCATGAAAGAGTCATTAAGGCTAGGGAGTTGCTATTACTATCCTGGTCTATCTTTTAAAAAGGTAGGCCCTGTATCACTGAGTAGATGACAGGAAGGAAGGAAGTAAGCAAGGATAACCCAAATGCAGTGTTCTAAGGGGCCAAGGTAGCATGATTTTGCTAGGGTTAGACTCTGAGAGGCCTTTGTATCTTTCAGTGTCTTTTAGTAAATCTAATTTCCCCAAGAGAAAATAGGATGAATGTTGCCAAAATACATAACTTCAAGACTCAAAATGCATTCGCAAGTTGCAGCATTTGGATATCTGCCTTGGTGAGCTAATAAGCAGACAATGAAACAAACAAAGGAGTAAAGAAACTTTAAACATTTGTTTTATTGAGCTGAAAATAGAAATAAATACGTCTTTTTCCTCAACCTTTCTATACTTATTCAGGTAAAGTATCATGGGACAGATATATGCTGAAAAATGCATCAGCTTCAGCATAAATACTATGCAGTTGCTCCACGTTGATGGTGTTTCGAAAACCAGTAATTTTCATGATGTCTGTCTAGGCTCTTATTAATTTTTATTTCCCTCTACAATTTTCAGATTATTTATCGATATAGGCAGTATCAGATTTACAGGCAGTTGGGTTTTGCAGAGTTATGTAACAGCCAAGTGATTTTTTTTAGGCATTATACTAATTCATTTCTGGCATGACCTTTTTTTTTTTAATGGAGTAGATTGACATTTTCATTGCCATATGGTACCCATTTTTGTAGAAAGACTAACTGAATGCATTTCCCAACCCGAAATATTGGCTTTTCTTTTATATGACTTCCTACTGTGATGTTGTTAAAATTGATTGTGGACTTTCCTGTCATTCAGTGGCATGATGTACAGAAAGAAATCTGTGCAATGGAAGTGCAATGTTATGGAAGTGGAGGCATTTTCTCAGAAACTAGAATTTTCAGCTTTGCCCCCCCCCCAACCTGGAATAATGAGGCGAGACAAGTGTTATGGGCAAACTATGGGCCACACTATTGGGCCATCACAATTGAGATTCATCTGGTGCCGATGCTGATGACCTTTTCAGCGCCAGGTCAAAATTTTCCTGTTCCAGAAGGCTTTTAATTGAAATAATATCAACTGTCGGTCCTGATGGCAATTTTTAGAATATATATTTTAATTGTATTTTAATTGTTTTATTATTTTTTAAAACTGTATTTAAATTATTGTAATCTGCCCAGAGACCTTTGGGTAGTGTGGGTGGCGTATAAGTTAAATTAATAAATAAAATAATAACCATCAACTTGCAAATAAAGGGAGACCTGCCATAGTGCGGAATCAGCTTTGCAGCTGGGGTCTCACCAGACCCCATATACTGGAAATGGATGAGTCCCATGCCCTGAGGTTTTGTAGTCCTGAAGACTGTGGGACCCTGGCCAGCCCAAATTTGACCACGCTGAGACCTCGAGTCCGGGAATGGCCCCAGCACACCCTCCCTCCCACACACTGTAATCTCACGATCCTCAGTTTTGGGAGGCTTGGTGAGTTATAACATTACGTGTGATTACAAGGGCACCCACCACAGCACTGGAACTAGCCTAGCTAAGTCCCATGCCCACCAACAATCCATCCAACCCCTAACACAGACCTCCCTGAAGGTCACTGGGAAATAACTCCAGTCCATATTGGACAGATGAATACCGCCTTCCCTAAAAAGGTCCAGACTGTCCACGCGAATCTCAGGGTGACCAATCACTGATCCCAGGCCTCTGCAAACTGCCTGACATACTTCCCTGTTTAGCCTACTCCATGCCATATTAATATGCTGTGAAACTGAGGGATTATCATGGACCACACAATTTGCATAGCCGGTTGCGCATTATATAAATTATCAACGACTTACCACTATGTTTGGCCAAGTCGTTACCAACTAAAGGTATTAAAAACACATTGGGGGGCATGATGCACCATATATAGTAGCTCTGCGGAACTTGCATCATAGCATGCTTCTCCGCCCTCTCCACTTAATTTGGGTTGTGGCTCTCAGGCCCAGATTGTGGCCCCAAGCCAATCCCGCTGCATATTGTGCGGTCCAGAAGATATATCATTTTTTTCCATGTATAAAATGACACTTTCCCCTAAAATAATTAGAGGAACAATTGAGTGTCATTTTATACACAGAAGGAAGCAGTCAGTCGCTCGGGTGCCACTTGCTGCCGCCGCCACTGCTGCCCAATTGCCTCTTCCAGAGCTCATGGCTTCTCCCCTCTGGTGGCCCTGAGGCGGCAGCAGGAGGAGGTGGAGATGGAGATGGAGGTGAAGTAACATTCACATGTGCTCAGTCACCTCTTGCTGCTGCCTCGCCCACCCGCCTGATCACCATCTCTAGTGGGACTGATGGGCTCAGCTCACGTTGCCACCTTGTTACCTCTGGTGGCAGAGGCAGCAGGAGGCAGAGGCAAACAAGCACTCATGTGTGCTCAGGTGCCTCTTCCTGGATGCCTAAGCCTCTTGACTGCCCTAACTGGGCATAACTTGGCAATTGAGCAGGGGGCTAATGTAATGTCTGTCCCCTTTCCTCCCTGATCTGCCTTGGGGCAGATGACCCCTTATGTGTTCCCATGACTGGGATCCTAAAACCTTCATGAAAGCCACTCAACAAGTAGGAAGCATCTCCCTTTCTTGGGTAAGCCTTCACCCATTTTTCCAAAACATCTACCTCAGTCGGGCTGGGCCCCCTTTTCCAGAGGCTCTGCCCCTTTCTGATTTCCTGTTTCCACTGGCTTCTTTGTTCCTACTTCTCTGTGTCCTTGCTCAAAAGTACACAGCACTGGGATGCTGGCCCCAGCACACAGTGCACCCGTGCCTGTATTTACATGCCCCTCAAGTTAAAATCCCAGCAGGTGAGGTTGAACAACTTCATTTTTATTTTACTGCCTGGATTAAAGTTATGGCCAGCCCTGCAAATCATGTGCCTGCTATCAAACTGATCACCCAGATTAAGTCTGGCTGGCGTCATACACTGGAGCAACAGGCATGGCTGGGGCTCGCCCATTGAATATTTGGGTGAATTGCCACTCTCATATGAAATGATTTGTCATAGAGAAGCCATGTGTGCCTCAGGTAGTCCACATATGCTCTGTAAATTAAGTACAGGTATTGTACTAAGGACTGTGCTCTCCATGGTTGGACCTTCACTATGATCCCCAAATAAATTTAAAAGTCAGGTAGCCAATTGGTCCAGGAACATTCAGGATTATGTTTCCTGTGCCTCCCTTTATCCTTCTCATCCTCTTTCTCTAAGTCCTTGCTATCACTTTTCTATTTAAAAGCTTGCCAGATATTCTCCTTGGTTGCGGGGGTCAAATGATCCCCTAGGGGCATTGCATAATCACCAAAAGTCAAGACTTTCAGAGGAACTGAATTGTGCACCATGTACAGGATGGATGGATAGTGCCATACTCCCACTCCCGCTGTTATGCTGATTGGTGCTGGAAATGAGACTTGAGGGTAAGGAGCCATCCAGTTCCCTGCTGATGTCCCTGGAACTGGCCACTGGTGAGCCTATAACCCCATAACCTGTGTGCCCTGCTGTACTGTGCTGTAGGGCACGCAAGCCTTCCCCCTGCTGGACCGCCACTCAACCATGGGCAAGCAGGTGGCTGGTGTAACCACTTGCTCACCTGATCCCTGGCTTGAGGTGCTTCCTGGGCTGCCTGAGTTATCTCAGTCTGAAAATTCCTCTCAGCTGCTCCACTCTGCATTCCCTGGGTACCTATATATGGTCTGGCCACCTCTGCCATCAAACCGCTGTTCACTGCTTCCACGTCTTGGTCCTGTGACCTCAAAGTCTGCAATTCCAACTCAATTTGAGATGTCCCCAGAGCTGACAGTTGACTCACCTCTAAAACAGCAAAACAAGATTTTAGATCATCCACCAAGGCCTTAAGCTTTGCTCGCTTATGGCTCTTTGATTCCCTAGATGAGCAACGTGGTTGCGGCTCACTCCTTGCTGACATTCCCTAAGATGCACGTTTAGCCTCCAAGGCAGAAATTTTTGCCTGAAGCTGCTCCCAAATCAGCCATCTTGGGATGGTGAGACCTGAGGAGCCATGTACTTTTTGGCAGGCTGCTTACACTTACTCTTCCCTTGGTCTTTTTTGGGTGCCATGTCGCAGCCCAGGTCCTAGCCTACAAGTTACCTGCAATGTTGAACACTTGCCACTTGACGCCTGCGTTCCTTTCCCCCCTGTTTTTTTATATATATTCAGTTAATTTATTGATTGATTTATTTCTTAATATATTTAATTAATTAAGTAATTAGTTTGTTTGTTTGTTTGTTTGTTTATTTA